TATATATATATATATATATATATATATATATATATATATATATATCCTATCATTATCGTTTTATTTAATTATGTGATAATTTGACTATGTCAAGGTTATGTCCCCTCATCGTAGCCTACAAATGATCCAATTGGTCTAATCAAAGAAATTTATTTGCAATATTATTTATATTTGATATTATAGAATAGATATAGAAAAATATTATGAAAGCTGCCTAAGCCCTAGAATAATTTATCAGCCTCGATTTTTGCTGTGGGTGCTCCACACAAATCTGGGACACGATTTGAGATTCTCAGTCCTCCTGAAACTACCACCTGACATACATATATGTATGTATGTATATATGTATTTGAAACTTGCAATTTTAAGATAATGTCTCTGACGAACCTTCGCGAATCGAATAGCGAGTCTTCTTTATCTTGGGGTTTTTAAAAAAATATGTATTCTAAAATATTTCTTACTTCCCCAAGGTGGTTATTTTGTTATTAAACAGTTAGCTCTAACCTGCATTAAATTAATATTTTCTGAACAATAATTTATATTGTTCATTGCTTCCCTCTCGTTGAATAATAAAAAAAATAATAAAAACAATAAAATAAAGCAATATAATAAAAAAAAATAAAGCAATATAATAAATAAAGAATATAAAAAATAAGCAATGTAATAAATAATCAATATAATAAATAAACGATGCAAGAGACAAGCAATATGGCAAATAAGCAATATATAACAAAGCAATTAAATGATGCAGCCTCGTAGACAGCTGCTCAAATTCGCCATGATCAACATTTCTTCTCTAAGAATTGTTTTTTAATCACTTGGAATGCAATTTAATTTAATTCAATTCAACTCCGACTATTTAATCGGAGTTAACCCTCATATCAACCATCCATTGTGTTCTACCAATTCCGCGCGGACTTCTTCTTCCCTTGTTCGCGCGTTTCAGAAACTCCGCGCGCCGCGAACAATTCTTCGGCGCGAGTGATTCTTCTTCTCTGAAATTCGGCGATCGGAATTCTTCCTCCGCTCGTCTCGTCGCGACGGCAGCTCGGAGAGCAGCCGTGGTCCGCGATACTTACGCGAGCATCGCGAGGCTGAGAGCTTCCAAAAAAGCTCGTTGGATCTTCGGGCGTTGAAGAGCGCGCTTCGACGCGATCGGACGGAAAGAAAGAAATCGCTCGCGCGCGACCGTCTCGTTTGCGACTGAATATGCGTTCAATACATTATTTATCTTGTGTTATGCGTTTTATTTTTGTCACTAGGCGCTAGGTGACACAGGTCCAAGATTCAAAACGGTTTTAACTAGTTTCGAAGCGGCGATTCAAAAGGGGGGGGGGCGCAGGCTTTTCGACAACGGTACTTGATCTCCGGTGTCTATGTGTCCGTGTGTCTGTGTCTCTGTGTTTGTGTTTGTGTGTGTGTGTTTGTGTACGCACGCAAAAATGTCTAAACCGCGGAAAGGAGACGCCTCGAAACGGTGTGTCGGCGCTCCGACTATACATATACATATATATAACTATACAATCTCTGTACAACAGGAATTAACCGAGGAACTAAGACAGAAAAGAGAAAAGAGCTATACAACGTTTCGTCTAACGATTCGCCGGGCACAGAATGAAACAGTGTTCGTCTAACTAATTCGTTCCGAAAGAAGTCTCTTGTCAAGGTTAAAGTCTAAAACGCGTTCCGATCTCTTCGAGCACGCCGAGATCTTGATGGGCGGCGCACGCGGGAGAAGGAATCTTCGTGGACGAGACAGACCGAAAGAGAGAGAGATAGACAGAGAGAAAGAGAGACGCTCTAAAGCCGATCTTCCGGGTCAGAATCTTCCGTCGGGATCTTCGTGGCGTGCCTCTTCGTGGTCGCAACGATCTTCGATGGTGTCGCTGGCCTTCGATCAGAGGCTCTTGCGGCCGGTGTTGACCAGAGGCGGCCGATAAACATTGTGGATCTTCATGAGATGTCGCCTGAGATTCACGTTCTGCGTGTACCTGGACTCGCAGAGGTCGCAGGCGAAGTTCTTGCGGCCGCCGCACTCGTACCTGAGGTGCTTGATCAGGCTGTGCTTCATCTTGTAGCCGCGGCCGCACTGCAGACACTTCAGCAACTGATCTTCGTGACGCGGTTCGCGACGATGCGGCGCGTCGTGCCTGAGCTTGCGGCGCGCCGTCCATCGGCCGGCCGCCACCGCCTCCTCGGCGACACCTAGAAGAACATCAATAGCACAGTCGCGTTAATCAAAGGGGTTCCTCAGCAACGACACGTGCCACCCGTCGGAAGAACAACCGGGGGGAGGTGGGCGAACGCCGGGCGCTCGCGAACTGTTTCGGAGAACGATTCGTCGACGGATTCTCTCCGGGCGAGATCCTGCCAGGACTCTGGAAATCAGAGAGGTTGTTGATTTGGGCAACCGGGTCGGACAATGGAGGATTATACGAGGTACAGAGAGAAAGAGAGTAAGAGAGAGAATAAGAGAGAAAGAGAGAGAGAGAGAGAGAGAGAGAGTAAGAGTAAGAGAGAGAGATACAAGCAGCGTATAAGTTAGGGAACGTGTTACGAGGATAGAAGCTAAGCGAGACAGTGAGCAGCATCGGAGTAGGGCAAAGGGGTAACCTTGGTGAGTAGTTTAAAATGGAGATAGAAGATTTCTGGTCCGACTCGCGACCGTTTCTTTTCTTTTTCTTTTTTGTTCTTTTTTCGGCGGTCCGGTCGGGCCGAAAGAGAGAGAGCGCGCGCGACCCTCGCCTCATCGGGACATCTCTATCTCTAGGATTACACGGGGAACTCTATTCGCGTCTACAATAGCAGACTGGGCTCCATCCCGTTGACAACGTCGATTTTATGGATCGCCGTTAGGTGACGCTGAAGACTCGTCTTCTGCGTAAAACTGTAGCTGCAGTAGTAACAAGGAAACTGACGTTTGCCGCCGCACTCCCATTTCATATGCCTCCTCAGATTGCACAGCAACGTGTACCCGCGGCCGCACTGCTGGCAGGTGAACCGGGATCTCGGGTAGCCTGTTCAAACCGAAAGAAAAACATCGATCGTCAAATGGATACAAATGCCGTATTGGATCGCGCGCGGTTCGCAAGCGCGTCTAGATCGACGATGCAAAAATGTCGTTCGACAGCCACGAAATAAATAAGAGAGAGCGCCCTTGCCTTGGGTGCTGCGGTCGGGTGCCCCCGATTATCGCGTGAACGCATCGTGCGTCTGGCCGGCGGATCGTCTAAATTATGCCAACTACAGCCGCGTCTACCCGCGCGCGTACCCGTTCGCCGGTGAAAAATACAAAGCTCTCTTTTTGCCAGCCTCGGACGGCCGTCGACGTGATCGCCTCTTGCGCGAACTGAGAGAAAAGGCGCCCCTCCTTCGTTCTCGATCTTTCGCCGTCTCGAGAGAGCCGCGTCTCCGGTTTCCTCTCTCTCTCTCTCGACGAGAGAGCGGCGAAAACGCCGTCGGAGACTGGCAACGCGACACATCGACTCTACGCGAGCTAAACCAGAGAAGCGGTGTGACTTACTTTCGAGCGTGACGATTTTGCGTGTTCTTCCGTGGAGACTGAATGACAGAGTATAGGGGGCGTGGGTGGGGGGCGAGGGGTGTACTAAAAAATCTGTCTATAGAGGGGTCGGGTACGTTCAATTAGAGTGCATAACAATAGGCGAGCTGTTGATCTTGGTTGTTAGAAACTTCTCGTTGCGACAAACAAAAGAGAGACCACCGGATCACCCATGACGGAAAGATTCGATATGACAACAACATATTTCGACGTGAGAAATAAATCGACAATGGACGCCGGGCTCTGCGAGTTTATTCGTTTATTCAGTGCTACACGGACCGGTGGTGGGTGGGGGGCTGTGGGGGAGAGGGGGTGACGACGAGAAGATCGGCGATAGAAAACGTTCTTTCTTTTTTAGAGGTCCGGTCAGTTCTCGGCGTTCGACAGAGGATTGTAGGGCGCGGATCGCGGTTTGCATCTTCTCCGCGGCACAGGGATGTTGTGGAAACGCAGCAGGTGCTTCTGCAGGGTGACGTTCTGCGTGTACTTCTTCGGGCAGAAGGCGCAGAAGAATCTTCGCTGGCCGCCGCACTCGTAACGCATGTGCCTCACCAGGTTGTGCTTCAGCGAGTACCTGCGCCCGCAGCTCGAGCAGTTGAACTGCCGCTCTTCAGAGAAGACGTCCGCAAGCTCCGGTGGTCCCGCGGTCTTCGCGGCGGAGGACGACGAAGAGGACGGTGGCTCGAGGCAGGCGTACATCGGCTGGAAACCTGAAAAAAGATATTCGTCACTCGATTAGCATCGCCGAGACCGAGGCACGCGCGCTCCTTCCCCGTTTCACCTCCGAAAGTCGCCGCTCCCCGCGACTCGATGCGAAACACGTTTTCCTAGCTCGCGAATGGTTTACGCTCCGTCGAAACGCGCGCTCCTTTCTTCAATACTCACCCCCGTGGTCGCTTTCCGGAAGGGTGACGGGGGAGCGAGGCGTCGGAACTGCCTGGCGAAACTGCTTTTCTTCGGTTAACGGGTTCGTTCGTTCGTTTCCGAGGAGACATTTCGACTGAAACTGACGGATTAGTGAGCGACCTTTGTTCTTGGGAATCGCGGCATTCTTCGAGCTACGAGATCGAAGCGACTGTCCGAGCATTCGTCGGATTCCAGCTTCCATACGAACCTGTTTTCTGTTCAGAGTTTCTTCGAGCAGCCGCGCTCTTGAAATCCACGTGTGACCGTCTCACGGCAATCGGTGCGCGACGTTTCCAAACGGAGAGCGGAATTATTTTGGAAACGGTGCTCCTCTTCGATTGCGATTACCCCGAAATATGTCCTTTTTAAATATTTATTTAGATTTTATATGTAAGATAATTTTATGCCGCATTACCGGGTCAGTTCTGGATTAGGTTTGGCTTTTCGCATCGAGCAATGTTCTTTGTCACAGGAGTCGGTTGCAGCTGTCGTCCCGGAAGTGTTAAAATATACAGGATTATGTCAACGTTCCAACGGAGAGGTTCCTGAGACGATTTCAAGCAAGTTTTTCCTTTACGGAAATTCTCTCCGAGGCACCGTTCACGAGTTATCGAGGAAAAACGCTGATCCAAACGCTGAGCGATCGCGCGCGGCCGACGCCACGCCCTCGCGGCCACTTCGGTACCGGCGCGACGCTGTATTGGTCGCGGGGCGTGGCGCCGACGCGCTCGCTCGACATTCGACAGCGTTTTTCGTTAATAACTCGTAAACGAAGCCTCGTAGGAAAATTTTGTAATGGAAAAAGTTGCTTCAAATAGCCTCAGGAATCCTTCATTTCCGGAATGCAGGACACTTTCGGGACACCCTGTATTTTAACGCTCCGGGGACAGAACCAACTCTCGTGCCACCGAGGATTGCATTTTCGCCGAGGAAAAAGTTACTCAGGAATCCTCAATTTTCGGGGGTATTTTTGGGACACCCTGTATAGATCTGGAGACACCGCGTCGCCCTGTTACGTCTTGTCACGTTCTCGGAGCGAACGATCGCGGTACTTACCTCGCCGGAGCGCGATCGGAAAAAGTGTCTCCGACGAAAATCGACGCGAAGGAAGCATCTGCAAATAGAGGTCACGTAAAAAGGCCACATAATAGCGCAGCAAAAATGCGTCGAGAACGTCCCCAAGAAGATAAAAAATCGTCGCGGACGAGATTCGCGTTGAATCGTCTTCAATCATTGAATGATCGTCTAAAACGCTTCATCAGTTTCATTTATTCAATTCATTCTCCGGGCTTTCCAATCGCCGATATATAAAATGTCTTAACACAACAACCATGTTATTTTTTAACGAGGATACTGTACGCGTGGCGTGCGCTGCGTCGACGAAATTCCCATTGAAACACGGTGACGTAAAAAACTGTCCCAAGAACTCGGCTCGCGAACGAAGAGAATCGCTCGGAAACTTCCGCCGTTGAAAAAACGCGTTTCGCAGAAATTTCGTTCCGAATTTTATGATCGCCATGATCGTTGTGTCAAGGTCGCGTTTCGATCTTCTCGGCAATTATTGGCTTACTCGCGCGAACGCAGCATCGACGGACAGCGAAGATTTTTCCGCGGTTCGAGCGGAGTGGAAACGAGATGCGACTCGGATCAATTCGAGCTGTTGTTCTACAGGGTGAGTCACGTAATTCTGCAGGGTGGAACACGTGATTTAAGCGGAGATCGTTGCACGCAGTGCAATTTTGCAGCGGCGCGTAATTCGGGGCAACGCGAAGCGCCCTTCGCTCCCGCGCAACGACGAGCCCTTCGACGAACGCGAACCGATTCGCGTCGTGTTTGTACTCATTCGAACCGGAAGAATCTCAGCTATCCGCCGATACTGCGTTCGCGCGGCTGCGGCAATAATTACCGGAACGTAGCGGCGTTGATACGATCGCGAACCGTAAAACCATCTCGCGCGTTCGTGACGCGCGCGTCATGCGTCTCTTCTTTTCGCCGCGAAAATTCCGCGCCGGTCGCTCTTAATTGTACGCCGTCCGCACCCAAGTTTTCCGCGGCGGCACGAAGATGTTATGCGCGTTCAACATGTGCTGCCTGAGCTTGCCGTTTTGCGTGTACCTGGCCGGGCACAAGCTGCACGCGAAGTGCTTGTGTCCGCCGCACTCGAATCGCAAATGTTTCACCAGATTGTGCCTCATTTGATACGATCTGCCGCACCGGTGGCAAGTGAACGTCTCCGTGCCCCTGGCCGCCCAACTGCCGGTCCTCGGCTCTGGAAAAATACAATAAGAACGTAACGTGAAGGTTGCATTGTGGCGATCGCCGACGCTTGGGTGTGCTCGGGCGCGCGCAGCTACAGGAAACGCCGCCGTGAACGCAGTTTCATTACTATGAAGAATTAAAAAACAGGATCCAGGGATACTATATATAACATATACACACACATACACTTTATTCCGCGAGATTCGTTTCGTAACAATCGTTTTTCTTTTTTTTACATCCCGCGCAGAGGCCTGAATGCGCGGCTCGATGCTCTTCGTCATTCTCGCTCTCTCGCTCTCTTTTTCTTTGCACGCGCTAATGGTTACTCGATCAGCGCCGTTACTCTACGTTTTAACACAGCGAATATCATGAGGATTGTTACTAGAAGGAGAGAAATTGGTGTCGCGGTACCAGCGACGATGCTATCCGCGTGAAACGCGTCGTCGTCCGCGCGCCGTTCTCGACGCGCCGGTCGCGCGGCTTGTTGCCGCGATAATCGTCCAGAGAACTCGTCCATCGCCTGGTAAACCATGCGTCAGAGAACTCGAAAGTACTGTCAAATCTACAATTTTCGCTGGAAGTGTACACAGGTCGTTCGGATCCGCCGAGGAACGCGCGGTCTCGAACACGCGATCGCGTCTCCTAATTTCCGTTCGCAAACAGCGTTCGCCTCGGAACGAAACAGAGCGGTCCGACGCGCAACAGCGACGACGGGCTTGCGTGTCGGAGCGATTATGGTACCGTGCAAGGTCGTTTAGGAACTAGAGATCGCGCGGACGCGTTCAAGTGAACGGCTTCTGTTCGTGGGCGCCGGCGAAGATGCGCTTCGGAATGGAGAATTTCGGCGGCAGATAGGTGTTGTGCTTTTGCAGCAGATGCCGTCGCAGTCCGATATTCTGAGTGTATCTGGCCGGGCAAATGTGGCACGTGAAGTTCCGTTGGCCGCCGCACTCGAATCTCATGTGGGTCTTCAGGTTCCGCTTCATCTTGTACGTCCGGCCGCACTGCGGGCACTCCAACGGCGACTCCTCCGGCGCTGTGTGACGGCCCCGCGACACCTGGCTCCTGTACACGTGGCTCTTCCTGAACCCTGAAAAATACAAACGGGATAATGCGTTAGAGAGATCAGAGAAAGCGGCGAGATCGCGACTCCGTGGACGACGAACGGGCGAAACGCCGTCCGGACGAAACGCTCTCCTGGAGCGCGGCTTCGGCGAGCCGACCAGCGCGGGTAACGTCGATCGAGAAACCTTTTTTTTCTCGAGCCGGAAGCTTCCGGGGACGACGGATTCGCCGACGGATCTTTCGGTTTTTTAGCTCGCAAACGCTGCGCTAACGACTCGCCATCGCTCGGCGAATCCTTTCGAGTTCGGAGGGTCTAAAAAGCGGCAAACCGTTCGCTCGAGCAACCATAAACGCTTCCGGCTAGTCGCTCCTACGGACAAGAAGTCGGTACATCGTGTGGATCAGCGGGGTGGTCTGCTTGATTACTCGATTTATTGCGTTCGAAGCGCGCCGCTTCTTCTTCAAGTGGTACAATGTTTTTACGGGGGCGCGCGAGCAAAGGCGTACTACGCCAATGGACGCGAGGGATCTCTCTTCTTTTTAGAATTGTTCAAGGTTGCTTGCTCAAGCCTGATCAGGCTTGGAAATATTGTGCAGCCTTGATTATTCGAGGGGGATTAGCCAGGATTCGACGATACCGGGATAACTTCTAAATGTACCATATACCTTGTGTTTCATGCAACATGTATATATATATATGTATGTATATGTATGTATATATTACTACATATTCGAAAAATTTGCTCGAAGACCGGTCTGTCTACGGTTGATAGAATAATTTGTACACTCCGTAACGATATTGGTAACACATTGTTCAAAAGGAATCCACTAGCATAACCTGAGAGAAAAGGTATAGTCTACACGCTGTTCTTCCATTAGAGATAGCCTCGACACAAAACACGTGTTATTATTTATACATTTCAATCATATTCAAATCTGTTCCAACGATCCACAAATGACACACTGTTCACGATAAACATACCTAGTTACAATAACCAAAAGTGTACGGCGATGTCCAAGTAAATGCACAGATCGTCTGTTTGTCAATCATGGCCGCGGCGAGATGCTTTGCGCGGCGCGATCTCGGCTCGACGCGTTCTCTCCGGATCGTTTTTTTCTCTTGTTTCTCGTGTTTTATAATCGTCTGTCCGCGCGAAGTAGTTATTTCACGGTGATCGTAGATCCGCGGAGCTTTGTACTCGAAGAAAACGTGGTGGGAAGAGATCGCGGGCCACGTTCGCGATGAACGCTGAACAAATATTCTATACAAGAAAAACAACCTGGATATCCTGCCCTTATATATATATATATGTAGGGTATCTCGAAATTATGGTGCTTCCGGTAAATGGGGGGTTCCTGAGGTTATTTGAAGCAACTTTTTCCTTTGCGAAAATGCGATCCGCGGCTTCGTTTGCGAGTTATCAACGGAAAACGGCGACCAATGAGAGGCGAGGTCGGCNGGCAGATAGGTGTTGTGCTTTTGCAGCAGATGCCGTCGCAGTCCGATATTCTGAGTGTATCTGGCCGGGCAAATGTGGCACGTGAAGTTCCGTTGGCCGCCGCACTCGAATCTCATGTGGGTCTTCAGGTTCCGCTTCATCTTGTACGTCCGGCCGCACTGCGGGCACTCCAACGGCGACTCCTCCGGCGCTGTGTGACGGCCCCGCGACACCTGGCTCCTGTACACGTGGCTCTTCCTGAACCCTGAAAAATACAAACGGGATAATGCGTTAGAGAGATCAGAGAAAGCGGCGAGATCGCGACTCCGTGGACGACGAACGGGCGAAACGCCGTCCGGACGAAACGCTCTCCTGGAGCGCGGCTTCGGCGAGCCGACCAGCGCGGGTAACGTCGATCGAGAAACCTTTTTTTTCTCGAGCCGGAAGCTTCCGGGGACGACGGATTCGCCGACGGATCTTTCGGTTTTTTAGCTCGCAAACGCTGCGCTAACGACTCGCCATCGCTCGGCGAATCCTTTCGAGTTCGGAGGGTCTAAAAAGCGGCAAACCGTTCGCTCGAGCAACCATAAACGCTTCCGGCTAGTCGCTCCTACGGACAAGAAGTCGGTACATCGTGTGGATCAGCGGGGTGGTCTGCTTGATTACTCGATTTATTGCGTTCGAAGCGCGCCGCTTCTTCTTCAAGTGGTACAATGTTTTTACGGGGGCGCGCGAGCAAAGGCGTACTACGCCAATGGACGCGAGGGATCTCTCTTCTTTTTAGAATTGTTCAAGGTTGCTTGCTCAAGCCTGATCAGGCTTGGAAATATTGTGCAGCCTTGATTATTCGAGGGGGATTAGCCAGGATTCGACGATACCGGGATAACTTCTAAATGTACCATATACCTTGTGTTTCATGCAACATGTATATATATATATGTATGTATATGTATGTATATATTACTACATATTCGAAAAATTTGCTCGAAGACCGGTCTGTCTACGGTTGATAGAATAATTTGTACACTCCGTAACGATATTGGTAACACATTGTTCAAAAGGAATCCACTAGCATAACCTGAGAGAAAAGGTATAGTCTACACGCTGTTCTTCCATTAGAGATAGCCTCGACACAAAACACGTGTTATTATTTATACATTTCAATCATATTCAAATCTGTTCCAACGATCCACAAATGACACACTGTTCACGATAAACATACCTAGTTACAATAACCAAAAGTGTACGGCGATGTCCAAGTAAATGCACAGATCGTCTGTTTGTCAATCATGGCCGCGGCGAGATGCTTTGCGCGGCGCGATCTCGGCTCGACGCGTTCTCTCCGGATCGTTTTTTTCTCTTGTTTCTCGTGTTTTATAATCGTCTGTCCGCGCGAAGTAGTTATTTCACGGTGATCGTAGATCCGCGGAGCTTTGTACTCGAAGAAAACGTGGTGGGAAGAGATCGCGGGCCACGTTCGCGATGAACGCTGAACAAATATTCTATACAAGAAAAACAACCTGGATATCCTGCCCTTATATATATATATATGTAGGGTATCTCGAAATTATGGTGCTTCCGGTAAATGGGGGGTTCCTGAGGTTATTTGAAGCAACTTTTTCCTTTGCGAAAATGCGATCCGCGGCTTCGTTTGCGAGTTATCAACGGAAAACGGTGACCAATGAGAGGCGAGGTCGGCTGGCGCGAGGCGGCCGAGCCAAGCTCCGCTGATTGGCTCCGCCGCGGCGTGCCGCCTCGCGCCAGCCGAGCTCGCCGATCATTGGTCACTGTTTTTCGTCGATAACTCGTGAACGGCGCCTCGGAGAACATTTTCGTAAAGGAATAAGTTGCTTCAAATGATCCCAGAAACCCCTCATTAGCTGAAAGTACCATATTTTTGGGACATCCTGTATACCGGGTGGGGAATTTGAAACAAGACACCTAGATAACTCGCTTGTTTTTGACAATAGAGAAAAAAGTGTCGAACAAAAGTTGTTCGATTTCGAGGAGCGCGTAATATAATGTCAATGATTTTTTTATAGTTGCAGCCGTAGGCTCTATCAGAACGCTTACAATAAATTAGACCGTCCCATTTAAAAAAACAAGCTTGACCTTCACGTGTCCTCTACGCTCGCACCAATAAAAAATCTATCGACACCGTGTTACGCGCCCCTTGAAATCGAGCAACTTTCGTCCGACACTTATTTCTCCGTTCTCAAAAACAAGCGAGCTATCGTCTCGTTAACGACCCCGCCCCGTGTATATACACGCGGATCGCGGCGGCAAGTCGCGTCGCTGAAGAAAGTTAGTGCTTGCTCCGAATGTGCCGGTCGAGGTTGCCCTTCTGCGTGAACTTGAACTTGCAGATAGGACAGGAGAACTTCGGCTCGACGCCGCACTCGTAGTGCCTGTGTCTCCAGAGCGACGTGAACACCGCGTACTGTCGGTCGCAGTTCGGGCAGCCGTACTTCTTCTTCCTCTTCCTCTCCGGCGAGATCTCTTGGTCGATCCTCTCGGCGGCCAACGGCGGCTGGCCGTCGCACTCGAACGCCCGGTGCCTGGTCAGCGAGGCCATCAGCGCGAAATTTCGGTCGCACGCGGTGCACGCGTACTTTCGCGGCGTCCAACGGTGCACCTTGCCCACCCTGTCCCTCAAGGTCATCGAACGGAGGTGCCTGGTGTAAGCGGCGACCCGCGAAGTCGACGGTAGCGCCGGCACCGTCCAGTTCGCCGGGCTGTAGCCGGTGCCTGAAAAACGAGCAAACGAAAGAGAAGGGATTATAAATAGTGTCCGTCAGCCGTAATGATCCGCGGTAACATTCGGGGCAGCAATGATATCGGGCGCCGTCGATCTGCGAAACGAAGAAGCGAACAGAGAATTCTTGCGAGCGTTAAAATACACGGCATTCTTTATTTCCAACAAAAACAATCCAGATAGTCGCGTGTGTTACAACGTTCGTCATGTTGTTCGGGAAACATGTAGGGTGATGGGAGGGCTACTGGTTTCACCAGTAACGATCGCAACACGGGTTCTCGTAGAACCACGTGGAACTATGAAACGGCTACACTCTATTAGCTCAGCGAGGATCAGGTTCTGTACAACGACACGCATGGGCGTTCGGGACGAATACGAGCCGGCCGAAAGCGTCTTTCTTTACAAGTTCTGCGTGAAGTCGTGGTAAGAGGCGAACATCGTTCCCTGGATGTCGCCGTGCACGTCCAGGACCTGCTGGGGACCGTACTGGGCGGCGTTCTGGTCGAGCAGGTGCTGATGCCTGGCCAGGATGTGCTTCATCAGGCTGTTCTTGTACCTGGTACGGTGCGGGCAGAACGCGCACTTGAACTTCGGGTCGATCCCGCACTCGAAGTCGTGGTGCCTCTTCAGGTGGTGCTTGTGCTTGTACGTCTTGCCGCAGGTGCCGCACGTGTGCTTGAACACCGAGGCCAACGGGTACTGCTGCTCCGCTGAAACAGAGAACAGAGTGACCAAGTTAGCGAAGGGCGGGCCGCCGGTCGTCGTCACCGGGACGTTCTCGCATCCGGTACTCGGTTCTCGTGCGATTCGTGTCCTTGAAGAATCGAATGGGTTTTCTTGTTAATCGGTGCGGTGCGGAGCGGGGACGGTGAACGGGGGGGGGGGGCTTAGTTGTTTCAGGGGATGAATTAACGTGGTACACAGAATCGAGATTTCGATACCGAACATGACAGATTTTTATTAAATCCGCGACAACTGGCCTCTAAAGTCAGGGATCGGAGAACGTAACCCGTTCATCGGTTCCGGTTCTCGGTCACCTATCTCTCTCTCTCTCTCTCTCTCTCTCTCTCTCTCTCTCTCTCACTCTCTCTCTCTCTCTCTCTCTCTCTCTCTCTCTCTCTCTCTCTCTCTTTCTCTCTCTGACCCGACGTGGCTTCGGCGACCGGTCACCGGATCCCCAACGGTGACTCGGTTGAAGCTAAGTAAGAGCGAGTTGCAATCGAAAAGCTCCAGGACCGAGATTGCAACCGTAACCGCGATTCAGTTCGGTGCTCCATAACCGTTTGTAACCCACAAGGTGAACAGGCTGAACAGTTTTCTCTAATCGTTTCTTGGTGTCGTTCGATCGGAATTATATTTTGGATTTTAAACAATTTTAAACGACGCGGAGGCGATTTATTGTCGATAAGTAGAAATGTGTATTTTAGTCAATTATGGAGAGCAATAATGTAATGTAAAAAAAATGTATGTGTATAATAATAATCGGCAAAGAATAGCTTACGTCGGTGCTCAGAGCGCTCCGGAGCGCAACATTGGACTCCGCCTCCCGACTACCGCCGCAGTGCCACGCCCCCGCGTTGCCTCAATCGGTGGGAAGCGAGGCGCTATGGTGGGGAGCCGTGGGCGGTGCTGCGAGGAGCGAGACGCTGTGGTGGGGAGCCGTGGGCGATGCCGCGGGAGCGAGACGCTGCGGCGGTAGTCGAGAGGCGGAGCTTAATATTGCGTCCCGAAGCGTTCCGAGCACTGCACTGTATGTTTTAGCGGTTCGAATGCACGCTAATTCGACTGCACTATTCGTTATTCCCATTTCACTGGGTTATTTCGAAAACATAGTCTAATAAAGACTAGCCTAAAAGATTAGTCTCATAAAGATCAGCGACTAATATCGTGTCCAACTGTTCAACGTCTTCTACTGATATGCTTCAGGGACGCGATATTATTCATCTTTATTCACTTATATCGTCGTAAAATTATCGTCATTATTACCCGAATTTTTTACAAGAAAATGAATAAGCCGCACATTTTTCTTGAAAAATGTTGGGTAACGTGAAGTTAGAACGAAAAGAAATAAACGTTGATAAGCGATAATAATGCTTACGGTAGAGTCTGTCTGTAACCGTGTCCGCGGTTATCGATTAGGGTCGCGTCTGTGACGCGACGGTGTTTCCGAAGAGCCGAAACCGATTCAACGCAGAATCCGTATCACATCATGTAACAGTATTTTGTAACATTATTTCAGATATTCGTAACTGTGTTGGCGAGACAGGAAATGTTATAAAACACTATAATACGAGATAAAACGGAATGAACGTTAACCTCGAAATCATTCTCACGACTGTTCCCGATGCTCGCACATAACCCGCTCTTTCGCGACTGTAAGAACCGTTCCCTCAGGGTTACTACGGGTCAGAGAGCAACCTCCCCTAGAAAACCGGTTTCAGGGTTGGCCGTCGGGTTACACTCCCTGCTCTAAATCGCGGGATTCGCAAACATAGATGCTAGAATTACGCCGCAAACACTCGCACATTTGACTCCGATTATCGTACACGTTGAAGAAGCTGAAGCTGGGGCGGCTCCGGAGAACCGCCGGGGCCCCGCGGGGGCGTGGCTCGTGAGCGATTCCCGAGGCCCGGAATTTTCATTTTCGAACGAAGGCTCGCTTTGTTGTTTTTTACCATTCGACAGAAGTAGCATGCGAGATACACCGAGAGCGAAGGAGAGAGTACCAGCGCGCTCTTGGCGCTCCGAAGCGATAACCGATCGATCGGCGGCGCGCGGAACGCGATTCGAAAAATACCTTCCACGCCGCCGAAGACAATGAAAGAAAGTTCACGGGCTTCCGGTCGACATTGTGCCGCGGCGAGCATCGCGTTCGCCGCGACAAAACGTTCGAGACGCGCTCCTTTCGTTTCGACGAACCAATTTCATTGTTCCGCCAGCGTGGAATCGATTCCCGAAGCGCGTTACGCGCGTCACCGGACATCCGGTATATCGGCGCGTCGACCACTAATACAACAAAGACATTTATCAACGATTCAACGAGCAGTTCTCGATGGAAATGCGACGACACCCGATAGCGTCCACGCCGACGGCTCGCGTCGCCGCAGCGCGCGATTCGCGGATCCGCTTTCGTCGCGAGAATCTCGTCGCCGCGCCGCCGGTGACGCCGTTAAGATAAAATGCAGCGTGCCGGTATCTTCGACCGCGTTCGCGTCGCGTCGACGAAGAAACCGTCGAACGGGCGTCGATCATTCGCTCCGCTTTTCAAGCGAAGCAAATTGTGATTAGCGATTTCTCCCTAACTCGCGCTGAAATCGCGCGTGAAAGCGGAGAATAATTTCGTAAGCGGATACGACTCGTCTGTGCGGAACGCCCCGCGCATGCGCCGCCCGGCCACACTGGCCAGGAGGCGTGGCCCTCGCGACCGTCGCGTCTCGCGCCGCTAATTCCGAGCCCGTGCGATCGCCTTCCGTCGCGAGCGACTCTGCCGTCTCGTTTCAGCGAGCAAATTTCTGAAACCGTTTACTAACCGAATTGCGCACACCGAACGACAAATACCCGGAATACCACAGCGAACAGCGACGACGCGGCTCTCTCTCCCTCTCTGTGTCCCGAGGCGTCGTCTGTTCGAGCGAGACGAAGACGAAGCTGACAAAGCAGACGAAGACGAAGAGACACGAGGACGAGGAGGATCGAGAGTTTTCGGATGGATAGGCGTTTACATCTGTCCATCTACGTCTAATCCGACACATCTAATTCCCGTTTGTTGCACGGGCCGCCGGGTCACGACGGGTTCACACTAAAGGATTCCGTGGCTGCCTGACCGGCGCCGTCCGCGGCGTGAAGCCCTGCCTGGCGTGCTTCATCATGTGCACTTGGAGATAGGACTTGTACGTTGCCCTGTACGGGCAGAACGCGCACTGGTGCATCGGTTGTTTCCCGCACTCGTTAATCACGTGCCTGCGCAGGTTCTTCATCTGATGGTAGCGCCGGTCGCAATTGTCGCACGCGAACCGTCCTTGGCCGCGGGACCTTCGCCGATCCTCGGTCACGCCGCCGCTCATGAAGAATCGCATTTTCGCGTACTCTGCAATCAAGAAAGAAGAGGGTGCCTCGGTTAGTACGGGGCCAACGCGGGAACGTCGAGCCTCCGGCCATTTTGTCGCGCGGAAAGATTCGTCTGGCCGACCGACTTCTTTTTTTTTAGGTTAACGCGCTCTCTACAGAGGGCAGACAGCTGCCTTTAACCCTTCCGATACCGACCTTGGCCGCCGTCCGCGGGCGGAGGATGCCAGCGCCGTGAAGGCGCGATTCCGGGAACTCGGAATTGTCGGCGCGGGACTCGAGGGCGTGGCCTCGCGGTGCGGAGCTCGTGAGACCATGCCTCCCGGCTCCCAGCGCACGTCTCGCTCGCTCGTGACCGCCCAAGTGGCGGGGAGCGGGATGCCCGAGGGCAGTCGTAAGGCGTGGCCTCGCGATTCCTGCGTCGCGCAACGGCAGTGAGGAGGCGTGGCCTCGCGCAGGGAGTCAGAGCATAGCGGCGCGGGTCGTCCACCGAGCGGACACTGTAATTCTGAGCTACGATCGCGTCGCGATGCAGAGTCTCTGTCCGATCCTAGCTCAGAATGGCAGCGTTCTCCTCCGAGACGCCCCGCGTCGCTATGCGGAACGCCCCGCGCGGCCACACTGATCAGGAGGCGTGGCCCTCGCGACCGTCGCGTCTCGCGCCGCTAATTCCGAGCCCCGCGCCAAGGCAACACTACGCCTTGACGCAAGCCGCGCACCGTTCCCTAACATTTTCCCCTCTAAATAACACCGAGATGCCTCGATGTAACTGTAACATCTCTCGCCTAAATATGTTGCCCCGGTGGAATCGCGCCTCGAGACCCGTTTCAAGGATGCTGTTCGACCACGAGCAAGGAGAGGAGGAGTCGTAGCCACCGAGAAACGACCTCCAGTCGTTTCCTGGTCGCTTCGCGTTGGATCGCGCGCACAGCGGACGCGTTCTGCAGGTTCTTACGGCCCTGGCGCCCCGGCCGGCGCCCATGTGTGTGTATATGGTCTGTCCGCGAAGCGGGTGTCCCAGGCGCGGACAACGTTTCCCCGCGGTGGCGTGGCCGGTAAGGAAAGGGTTAAAGGAGAGCAGAGCCGCTTGCGGGCGGGGGAGAGAGGGGGGACGCGGCGCGGCCCCCTGTCGCATGCACACGCCACGGATATACAGACATTGACGATGGAGCGGGAAGAACGACTTGTACATGAAATATTATGACAGCAAGCGCTGGGATACAGTCACGATTACAATGTGTATGTGGAACAACAATTGATGTGAGAAACCCCCTGTCGCCGGGGGTTGGACGGTGCGGTAGGTTAACAGTAGTACAACTGCCCGAGCTCCGCCGCTCTGTGGCGTCGGATCGGTTATATTTCTTTTTTGTTTTTTTGTTTTTGTTTTTGTTTTCGTTTTCTTTCGTTGCGACAAATACTGTACATCGAGCTATAGCGGGGCGTGTTTTGGAGTGGGGGAGAGGGAAGGGGGCTGACCGTTTCTCTCGGCGGCCGTTCGATGAGGGCGCGCGTACGACGACGCTGCTCAAACGGCGACCTGTTACGGATAAGGGAGACTCGGGTGAATGTTCATCACGTGCTTCGACATGCTGGCCCTATACTTGCTGCGATGGTCACAGTACGGGCACTTGTGGCCCGGCGGCTTGCCGCACTCGACCACGAGGTGACGTCTCAGCGATGTCTTCGCTTTGTAGCATCTGCCGCAACGGGGACACCGGTATATCTCCGTTAACGGCGTCTTCGCCCATTGGTTCATGATCCGTTGACACGTGGCCGACGGCGCGAACCTCACTGAAATCGATATCGATCGGTTAGCGGATCGACGATATTTCGACGGGGTGGGGAATGGGGATGAGGTGAGGGGGCGTGTACAGCTGACATTCAGAACGCGCGGCTTTCTATTCGCTAACGTCTCGCGGCCAGCGAGCCTGCGAGTGTTTCGATTCGCTTGTGGTGCCTGTTACTGTGAGCTGACCGATTACTGTGCTCTTCGCTCGCTTTCGGGCGTGATTAATATATTTATGTGTCCTGATATATATCTTAATATATTTATATATATTACATGTTAATATATATTATAATATGATAATATTGTATATTAATATATATTATAATATTATAGTAATGTATATTAACATATATTATAATATTATTTATTAATATATATTAATATATTATTATATTTATATAATAATAATAATAATATAAATATATATATGATATATAAGCTAATATATTATTATATATTATTATATTTCAATATAATTATAAATTAGTATATAGTAATATATATTTCAATATATTTATATATTAATATATATTAATATGTTGAAATATATTTATTAATATATTTAATATATTTTTAGATACTTATATGACCGGAAATATAATCGAAAGCACATTGGTCAACCCACGATAATCGCAGCTCCGTTGCTCCGACGTTGCAAGTGTACGGTTGCTAAAAAAGATTAGCGTCGCTGAAAAAGAAACCGCACTCTCGACCGGAAACTCTTTTCTCAGGAAAACGGAGACTTACGTGTACGATACGGTCTCTTGATCGCGATTATATCGTGTCGGGGAGGGGGTTGTTGCTCGTGGTTTCTGAAATACAGAACAACTTGGTTAGAGAACAACTGGTTGCGATCAGCTGACGCGCGTGGCCGACGATCACGGAATCGTCGTTCGTAAACGGAAGCTTCGTTCGTTCTGCTTTTGCAAGCGCGCCGTGACTGGGGAAATCTCCGTTTCTCTCTTTTTTCCCCCTCGTAACCGACCGGAAGATACAAGCATTTCTTGACACGAAAGTAACCGCCATAATCTCTCGGAAGTGTGTGATCGTCGATCCCGAGCTAGTTGTAAGGATCTAGTTGGCTTTCCTTCGCTGAAGAAAAGTCTGCGTCTGAATGATCGTTTTGTTTATTTTATTAAACAGATATTATAATACGTTGATTCGTGTTCGGTCAGCCTGGAAAAGCTTCGAGTATGGTCGACGACGGTGCGACAAAGGAAAAAGGCCTAAAACCGGCGAAATCAGGTCGATTAAATGTTATGTATTATTATCGTGTGACCGAGTCTCGTTCCGTTCATTTCGCACTTGCGGTGATTTATTGTCGGTGGTTGTTTACCGAGGGGGGTTGAGGGGTGTGGTGGGTGGGATGAAACAGATAAAAACGGGAATGGCGTACGGTGTTTGTTCCGATGAGCATAGAAATTCAACGGTGGAAGACTTCTCTATTACTCGTCACGGGCTATGTTCTCCGGTCGCTGATCAAATCGGCTCGTTTTCTGCATAATCGGGTACGGAAATCAGGTAACGTAGTTAATACTTGCGTGGAATCGAGGGTACGCCGGGTCTCGGCCTGGCTCGAGCCCGATCCGTGTCCTCGATCCGCTCGATAAAAACTTAAGTCCTAGTGCGCACGAGTTTCCTTGTGTGACAGAGGCTACGTACACATGTCTCTCTAAGTATACACATCGTGATCTAAATGGGTGGTTCGCGGCTCGCTTCTACGGCGGGCGAACTTCTCGCGGTTACAATACTTCGCTGGTGTGTGCGTAATGCGCGCGCGCGCGGGGCGAAAGAAACGTTCACGGCGCCGCGAAATCCGAGAATTTACAATACGCGCGATATATGTCGCCTTCTAAACGCGCGAAACAATGAGAAGAAGACAAGCGTTTCAGCGTTTACACTTCGAAAACCATAGAAACAGAACCGATCCCTAGATACAATGCGTCGCCTGCATTATATTCCAACGTGTTGTAAAAATATATATTTATATATATGTATGTATGTATGTATATGTACATACAGAGTATCCCAAAATTATCGTACTTCCGGCAAATGGATTCCGGGGATGATTCTAAGCAACTTTTCCCTTTATAGAAATTCATTCCGTCGCGTCGTTTACGAGTTATCGACGAAAAACGCTGGCGAGTCGTCGAGCGAGCGCGTCAACGCCACGCCCTCGCGCCTGATACCGCATCGCGCAAGCCGGCTGGCGCAGCGCGAGGGCGTGGCGCGGGCCAGCGTTTTCCGTCGATAACTCGCGAACGGTGGCTCGTATAGAGTTTCTATAAAGAAAAAAGTTGCTCGAAATCGTCCGAGGAACCCGCCGCTTCCGGCTCGCGGGTCACTTTCGGGACACCCTGTATCATCGTATCGATCAGACGTCGCGTATCGATCGTTCTTTGCGTTCCGCTATTCCGCAGGCCTATCCCGCGGCGACTCTACGAAAGCTCCTCTATAAAACGAAAAAGAAAAAATGGCGTTTAATCGTTAGATCGTCGTCAGTCCCCGGCGGGTAAGTAGTCTAGTTCCCCGCGTCCATAGACGAGGACAGTTTGTTCCCGTTCGGCATCGCGTAGAACTCGCTAAGCAGCTTCATGTGCCTGCCGTTCAGGTGGGTGTTCAGGCTGGACTTGTGCTTGGTCCTGTACGGGCACAACGGGCAATGGAACTTCGGCTCGACGCCGCACTCGTGCTTCAGGTGCCTGGCCAGGCTCGAGTAGTAATTGTACACCTTGCCGCAGTTCTTGCACGGATAGGTGATCCGCTGGCAGTTCAGAAATCCTCCCGCGGGCCTCGCTTCTGGAACACAGAGAAGCCAGAAGGAGCGGCGATTAGAGACGATCGGCAGACCAATCGGGAGGCCCACTTCGACGCGGGACCCGGCTACGTCGCCGTCGCGACGATTTCCCGCCGATATTAACCCTTTCGTTGCGAGCGCAGAATACGAACTCTTCGACGAGCTTTCGGTGAAAGCTCGACGGGCGCACTCTTTTCGGCGCGGTGCTCCGCGCGGTGGCCGGAGCGGACTGCCGCAACGAAAGGGTTAATCGAGGCGGTCGATTCTTTACCCTCGGCCCGACAGCTTCGCTGGCCGAGTCCGCGAGAATCGGCGCGATCCTTTCGCGCTCGCTGTCGCCTCGAGCTCGGTCAGCAAAGCTGAAGAGAGCGAACGGCGCTTTTTTCGGACGGACTCACATTTCGGGAAAAGGAACGCGTGGTCACGGTTTGGTTTCGAAGACAAGGACAGTCCGGGATTCTCGCTAAAAGGAAAACCATGCAGAGAATCGCGAGAACGTTGATCCACGCTTGATCGCCTTTCTAGATCCCTGGGAACACCTCTCGCCTCCTCCGATCGGTACACGAGAACCACCGAGTCTTTACTCTCGCAGTAACAATTGCAACCTCGGATATATTTGCGTGGGTGTTGTTGTCGTCGTAGCTTTATTTACAATCATCTTACACGCGCGCTCTCACGACTGAACCGGACAATCGTCTGAACAATATCACAGATGCGTTCGAAATGCTCGAAGTTATCGTCGTCGGGGAGGGGGACGAGGCCCCTCTCAGTCGATCGTGTACGAGCCGAGACCCTTCTGCGACAGTTTCTCCATGAGAACCGGGATCCCTTGCTTGCTGTACCGATGAAGAACGGACTTGGATATGCGGAAGATGGTCGCCGCCTTCCTCAGCGACAGCCCGTTCGCGACCGCCTCGACGGCCCTGCGGACGTGCTCCAGCTCGCACTTCTCGTATCTTCTCCTGAAAGACCTCGATCCTCCGTCCAGGCAGTACGGTCCTGCAACAGGAGTTCCTCGTTATTATCGTCGGGCGCGTGGTCGCGCGACGGAGCTCCCCACTTGGTGAAATTGGTAAACGAAAACGCGACAGAGACGCGTCGCCGAGAGAGCAAGCGGCGCGGGACACGACGCTTCGGGCTCGTTTCGGGTCTCGCGCCGGGGGCCGAAGAAAACAGGAAGGAATAGCTAGAAACGATCGTATATATTGTTACACCGTTGGACGAATAACAACAGAGAGCGTCGATCGAGCGGTCCGAGCGAGCAACCCGGATTCGGAAACGATTCTTCTCGCGAGCGTCGTCGCGGTTTCCATCGTCGGGGATCCGGAGTCAGCAGCGGGGGGGATGGATTTCGTCGTCCTAAACGCCCGCGTGGATCCTCTTCATGTGGCACTTGAGGTTCCACTTTCGGTTGGTCCTGTAATGGCAGTACGGACAGCACTCGGCCTTCTTTTGCCAGCAGAACGTCCTCACGTGCTCGACCAGGTGGTGCTTCCAGCGATAAGATTTCGAGCACCTGTCGCACGTGTATCTTCCCGCGCCGGGCGCCGCGCCCTTCTCGAACAGGCCCAACGGGTCCCGTTCGCCGGCGAAGTAAGCCTCGTCGTATCTATCCGGCCGGAACTCCGCCGGCTCGGCCGCCGCGTACGGATCGAATACCTGATAATCCTCCCAAACGATCAGTTCACCTGAAACACAAGGTCACGAGACACGTCATTGGCCTGGCGGCTCGGGACACGGGGCCTAGCCACCATGAAGGACGCAACGAGAACGAGGATTTAACGGAGGGATCGTTTTATTGTCGAAGGTCGTCGAGGATCGACGGGGAACTGTGGTTCGTCGGTTCGTTGATCGAGACGACGACGACGACGACGGACGTGTCACAACGTGTTTATTTCTGCGAGATAGAAGTCTGTACAAAAACAAAGGGGTCGGCGCCGAACAGTTCGGGACCTATTCGGTCCGTGATGGGCCCGGCTGGCCTTGGTCCGTCACGTCGGGTCTCGCGGAAGCTTAGGTTCTAGCGATTCGATCTCGAGGATCCCGACGACGACGACGACGACTCGATTTTACAGTAATGTCTTCCTAATAATCCTAATTAGAGAGACATTACTGTATTTCGTGCTAGAAAATTCGTTCTACAGTAATGTCTCCCTAATTGACGCACGGATTGACTCTCGGATTGACGGACAATTTGGAAAGAGGAGACACGATTATTCGAGCTTTGCAGTTGATTTTTATAGTCGTCGACAATTCGTAACTATAAAAAGAAACCGCGAGGCTCGCTTAATCGTATCTCCTCTTCCCGAATTGTCCGTCAATCCGAGCATCAATTAGAGAGACATTACTGTTACCTAGTGGAAAGGCGATCGGCGATCGTTCGTCGGCGATCATTTAACCGGCTTTATTGTTCGCGTCGCTATAATGCATCCGCGTAACGTGCTTCTTCAGGTTCGATTTCTTGTAGGTGCGAAACGCGCAGAACGGACAGCACTGTTGCTTGTCCTTGCCGCAGAATATCTTCTGGTGCTCGACCAGATGTCCCTTCCTCTTGTAAGTCTTTAAGCACCTGAAGCAGGAATACTTGTACTCGCGGCGTTTCTCCGCCGGCCACGCGTCGTCGACCGTGCCACTCTTCGTGATTTGCTCGAGATCCTCCTCGTCTTCCTCCTCCTCCTCGTCCTCGAAGTAGTCGCCCGTGTACCGGCTTCTCCGCGCCTCGGCGTCCGCCTCTTCGTTCCTGACGCCATGAAACGGGTCCAACGGCAACCGCATCCGGCTGTCCGGCACCGTGGGGCCGGTGGTCTCGTAGAAATGAAACGTGTCTGAAACAAACGATCGAGAGCCAATTAGTTTGGGCGGCGTAACGACCGCGGGGTTCCTTCCCGTAAACGGTCCAGGACGGAACGGAGAACGGAACGAAATGAAAGGCGGTGATGAGAGAGAGACTGTTTCGCGAAGAATTCGATCAGCTGCTCGGATATATGTACACAGGTATTTTTATTTAAAAAGCAATCGGCTGCCGAACATCGTTGGACAGGGACACTTAATCGCCGCGCAGTATTATTATTATTAGTTCCTCGATCTCGATCGATCTACGGATCCGTCGAATCGGTTCGACGGCGACAGACTAGACCATCGTGCTGCATCGCGACGCAAAGCGACACGCGCGTTTGCCTCGTTCTAACGTTAACAACAAGTACGATTCCCCTTGGATTCCCCCCCTCCCCCACTGCCCTGACAATTATAATGAATTAGCGATGAAACGATTCTCTGACGATCGCTGCGCGACTAAATCGCGGCGATCCACGGATCGGCGAGAGAGCCCTTAAATTTCCAGAATTCCAGAAGCGCGTTGAACAATGCGATTTTCTTTGAAATTTTCCCGGCTATAACTGTTATAAATATTTGTGAATTATTTACAATCGATAATAAACGTATCTACATGTTGAAGGAACGTGTCAGCGGCGAACTGATCTCTTTTTCTTTCTTTCTTTCTTTTCTTATTTTTCGAGTGAAAATCACACCTTCGTCGGATCTGGTCGAGCGATCGGATCACCGATCCGTGGATCATCGCGCGTGCGGAAATCGATCCGCCGCCACGATCGATCGCGGCGAGTACTAAATCTCGTAATTACAACTATTATATTACGGTGTCTAAAAACTGTGGATTACTTATTGTTGTAGTCTCGAACAATTTCTATAGGAAAAGAGACTGCGAACGCATGCTTAATCGATAGATACTCTACCATACAACCACTTCGATATCAAACAGGTAGGAAAAACCGGCTGTGTGTTCTAGCGTTTAAAATGGGACTACGATTTGAGTTTCCGTTTTCGACAACGGACGGTGAAAACGTTCGTACGCGCGGTCATAAAACGTGCAAAAGTACGCGCTGTCCGATTTAAAAAAGAACGCGCTCGAAAACGTAGAAAATAGTCGTCGTTTCTAAACAACGAATCACCGATCCTAAAGGGAAAGGACGAAGTTAACCATTGACTTGGGAACATAAGTTTACCCTTAAATGGCGTATATATCGAGGAATCGAATCATTATTATTACTATTATTATTATTATTACTATTATTATTATTATTATTATTACTATTATTATTGTTATTATTACTATTATTATTATTATTGTTATTATTATTATTATTATTATTATTCTTGTCCCCTCGCGGATATCTCGGGCCACTTTATCGATCGCTCTCCCTCTCTCTCTCTCTCTCTCTCTCTCTCTCTCTCTCTCTCTCTCTCTCTCTCTCTCTCTCTCTCCTCGATTACGAGTCTAACGCATATAAAACGAAAGAAACTTATTCGGATATGTTAAAGTACCATTTAACAGTTAATTCACAACACACAGCGTTATCAAAGTTCTCTGAAAACGGCGCGAACCGCCCCCCCCCCATCTCTCCGTTCTCCAACGATATACAGTAATGTCTCCCTAATTGACGCTCAGAGTGTCCCCCAAAATGGACAATTTGGGAAGAGAAGATACGATTGTTCGAGCCTTACTTCTCGCTTTTATAGTTGTTCACAATCGATAACCATAAAAAAGCGAGCCACGAGGCTCGAACAATCGTATCCCCTCTTCCAAAATTGTCCATTTTCGTGGACAATCTGAGCGTCAATTAGAGAGACATTACTGTAAAAAAGAATGACACGCGCCGCGCGACACGAGCTCCGAAACCTTGTGGATCGAGGATCGATCCCCTTTATCACGCGTTACGAAAGAAACAGCCTTCGGACTAGATTCGGTTCAGTTTTATTAAGTGTGATTACGCGATTACTTTCTCTCCATCGATTCGCGATGCTTCGCCTAGCAAACGATGCTTCTCCCAGCGTTGCACACGCATTATACAGGATGTCCCGAAAATGTCTCGCAATCCGGAATTGGGAAGTTCCTGGAGTAATTTGAAGCAACTTTTTCCTTTGCGAAAATTTTCTCCGAGGCTTCGTTTACGAGTTATCAACGAAAAACTGTGACCAATCGGAGTGCTAGAGCGGCCGGCGTTCCGCCATCACGGCCAATGCCGCGTCGCGCCGGCTGTCTGACGCAGCGGTAGTGACCGCGAGGGCGGGGCGTCAGTCGTCCGCGATCTCTCGTCAGCGTTTTTCGTTAATAACTCGTAAACGAAGCCGCGGATTGCATTTTCGCTAAGGAAAAAGTTGCTTCGAATCACCTCAGGAATCCCATACTTTCGGATTGCGAGACATTTTTGGGTTAACCTGTATATCTTCGCCGTTGCGACTGATCAGACGGCGTCAATCGCGTTTTCTCTCTCTCTCTCTCTCTCTCTCTCTCTCTCCCTCTCTCTCGACTCGGACGCGTCGATCCTCCCGAAACTACAATGCTCGAAATTCTCGATTTTTTTCGCCGGCGGCCGCTATAAATGGATTTCGCTACCATCTCTCGGAACGCTGTACGACTGCGATTCTTCACCCTGTCGCGAGCAAGGAACTTTCGAGGCGCGCGCGGCTCCGGTTCGGTTTCCAACAGGTTTCGAACACGTCTCGCGTTCGATCCGGGTTTAAGTAACGAGCCGTGCTACGCGTAGAAGTCCTACATGTCAAGTCTTCAACGCTTCTTACGCTTCTTGGCCAGAGGAGAAATGGTCGACCAAGCTCGCGAAAGGGTCGATCTTTCGTACGCTCCTCGGACAAGCATACGCCGCTTCGTTCATTCCGTCTCGCGATTCCGCGAAATCCGCGAATTTTGATTAATCCTTCTAAGGAGCGAAACGTTCGCTCGCGGAACGACGCGCGATGCGTCGAACTTAAGAAACGTGTAACGATCGAAAACGGGCGAATTAGTTAGCTGCGAAGTGGCGGCCTATCTCTAAGAAGCGCATCAGAGTTTTTTATCGAACGCAAACGAAGTGTACAGAGAGTATTGATCGTGCCGATAACGCGTTCGCATCGTCGGCGCGCTCCTAAAAAAGGAAGTTGCACGTGCATGCTCTCTTTTCCGGACACAACATTTCCGTTTTCGATTCTTCGAGCGACCGGCAAGAATTCGTTTCTACATTCCAACGAGAAAACGAAGAAAGTCCGAAGTCGCGAAGCAAAGTAGAAGAGAAAGAAAACGCGCACGACGATCTCCGACTGCGACAGCATCCTCTCGCTTCCGTCTCGTCGGAGAAATCTTCGATTTCCCGAAGCGGCGCGTCGGGCGAAAGTACGCTCGCGAATCCGCGAAAAAAATAGAGGCGAACGAAAAACCAAACGGATCACACCGACAACGCGATCGTAACACGTCGCCTCGTCGCTGGTCCGCGCGCCTCGACCGGCCGGAAGCCTCGGCGTCGCGCGGCGAAGAAGCGGAAACCGGGCGCCGCGTCCTCTCCGCAGCCCCTCGTGCCGAGAGGGCGGTATAAAAAATTGTCCGCGCTACAGGTTCGCCGTGGATCCAGTTCACGAGCGGATGTTGTGCACGGAGAGCAGATGCTTGAGAAACGAGGCCTCCACCCTCGACCTGTAAGGACAGTACTCGCAGGAGAAGTGGGTCTCGTACGTGAGCAAGCTGCAGCCGAGCTTCTGGTGCTTGCGCAGGTTCGACGCCCATGAGTACATTTGGCCGCAACGGGAGCACATGTGCAGCCGCGGCCTCACGATCGGGAACCGTGGTGCGTCTGGAAAGAAATGTTTGTTACAGAACGATTAATGAAAACCGGTCGCCCCCGATCCCGGCCGCGATCGACGTGCCGTACGTTCTCTCGCGGAGAGTGTTGTATATGTGTGTGGGCGGGTGGGGGTCGGAGGTCGCTGATTGGCTCGGAGGGGGAAGAGAGAACGAAAAAAAAAGAAGATACAGTAGGGACATCGCAGTGGCGTGGGTGGATATAGCTTCTATAGACACCGAAGCGCATGCTTTGCCGGGCGGCGTTCGCGGCGAAGATCGCGCGACTCCGAAGATCGCGCGGCAGATTCGCGCGGATCGTCCCCGAGATCCGCGGGTGACCCCGCTCGGATCGCCTTGCTCTCGGAATTACACGAAAAGAGCGTCTCCTCTCGGTTTCCTTCGTGCGCGCGAGGCGGCCAGAACACAACGATGCGAACACACCAGAGAGTACTCGTGCACAAAGAATGAATACTTACGATGCGACGCCTGACCCCGGGGCGCGGTCGTCGTTTGCGCCGCGGCATCCCCGGATGCCTGGAAAGAAGACGCTTTCTGGGATCGAGAGTGAGGTTGGGGGGTACATGGCTCGAGATTAGAGAAAGATCAGATTTATTCGTTATTCCGTTATCGGTCTATCCGTCTATATCGGTCGACTACTATTCGGCGCCGCCCTCGGATTTCCGAGGAGAAGCGAAGTACTTTTTTCTTCTCTCAAACGTCCAGCCGGAACACCTGGTGCTTGTAGAGCATGTGCTTCTTCAGGTTCCCCTTGAAGTTCGACTTGTAGTCGCAGAACGTGCAGAAGAAGTTCGGCGGCTTGCCGCAGGCCATGCGCTGATGAAGCCGCAGGCTGGTCGGCCAGGAGAACGTCCGCTGGCAGCGGTCGCAGGTGTACTTGTAACCTGAAATCAGAGTGATTGGTTAGCGCGAATGGTAGGCGCGAGTGCGCGAAGCTTGGCCCTCGACGATGACGACGATGACGATGACGGCGAAGGCGAAGGCGACGACGCGCGAGTCATGGACGAGACTAGAACGCTTGCTGATTCTGCTAATAATTTATTGGTTACAGTGTGTCGGCGAACGGTCCGGAGACTCTTGCCGCGGGAATCGCCGCCGGCTGAACGTTATTGGTACATATATACAGAGCGTCCAAGCGTCGTGGTTTTCTTATCGATTAGGTCGGGAGGAGTAATCGTTTGTCGCGGCGAACGGAGAAGGAACGGGAGACGGAGAACGATTGTTGAAAAAGCGACGAGAAACGTGTCCGTTGATTAAAAGCGAGCGGCCACGGAGCACAATCAACCTGTGAAATCACTGCTGAGGAACTTTATTTTATTTTATACTCGATTTCGAACCGTCGGTGTCGCGGTGTACCTTGTGTTTTTGTCCACGGAGTGTCCAGAGAGGTCTACGATTCGATCGTCGATCGCGCGACCAACTTCTCGATCCCCGACGGCTACAGCACACGCGTTCGTTTCATCACCCTGTTTTTCTCTGCGGTATATACGCAGGGTGTCCTGAAAATGCCTCGCGATCTGGAAACGAGAGGGTTCCTGAGGTTATTTGGAGCAACTTTTTCCTTTGCGAAAATGTTCTACGAGGCGCCGTTCGCGAGTTATTCGCGAAAAGCAGTGGCCAATGAGAGGCGAGCTCGGTTGGCGCTAGGCGGGCGCGCCAGTCCGCGGGCGGAATCCCGGTCGCGCTGATTGGCTCCGCCGCGGCGCGCTGCCTCGCGCCAGCCGCGCGCGGTCACTCATTGGTCGCTGTTTTTCGTTGATAACTCGCGAACGGCGCCTCGGAGAAGATTTTCGTAAAGGAAAAAGTTGCTTCGAATCGCCTTGGGAACCCTTCTACAAAGCCTACTCGCGAACCCTTCCCTGTGGGACATTTTTCGGACACCCTGCACGGTAATGTCTCCCTAATTCGCGCTCAGATTGCGCCGGAAAATGCACAATTTGGGAAAAGGAGATGCGATTATTCTCGTTCTTATATAAGTTGTTGACAATAATCATAAAAACGAGCCTGTAAAAGCTGTAAAAGCTATAAATAATAGAAGCTCGGACTATAATGCTCGAACAATCGTATCTCCTATTCTCGAAGCGTCCATTGTTCTGCGCGAACCGAGCGCGAATTACGGAGAAATGATTGCATCTCTTTGATGCCACGAAGAGAAAGATGCGAAGACAAGGGAAGACAGGGGAAGAACGCCTCTTATACAACCTCTCTCTCTCTCTCTCTCTCTCTCTCGCTCTCGGTAATCTAAACTGTACTGAATGAACGGCATCGCCGACGGAAAAATGTCAGCGCAGCTAACATCGAGACGTGGAGAGAATCGAAGCTCGGTCCGCTGCCCGTCATCCGAGGTGGATGCGAAGAATGTGTTTCTGCAAGCTACTCTTGTACTTGGTTCGGTGCGGACAGTACGGGCAACACTCCTTCGGGTCTTTGCCGCACTCGATCTTCAAGTGGTTCTTCATGTTCCTGAGCCAACGGTAGCCCTTGTTGCATCTCGGACACCGGAAGCAGCCCGGCCGCCTGTCCAAGCAGCCGCTGCTGCTGTTCCTCTGGCCGACCTTCAAACTATTCGACGTCAACGCAGCCTTATTATGCTGGCTAAACGATCTTGCGTAATAATGGTAACCGGGCCACGGGAGATCTGGAAAAAGAAAGGGGCAACGTGACATTCTCTGGTCGACCGTGGATTCTCCACTCGTGACGTCGCGGTGGAAACACCTTTTTGAGCAATGTCTCCCTTATTGACGCTCGGATCGCGCACGAAAATGGACAAATTCGGGAAGCGGAGACACGATTAATTCGAGCCTCGCAGCTCGTTCTCATAGTCGACAATTTTCGTGACTATAAAAAGAAACCGCGAGCCTCGAATAATCGTGTCTCCTGTTCCCGAATTTGTCCATTTTCGTGCGCGATCGGAGCGACAATTAGAGAGACATTCGGAGTGACTCGAGTTTGGATCGGATCCGGCTCGGATCGCGGAGGAAATTCCCGGAAGAAATTCTTTTTGGGAAAAGAACGCGTGTTCTTGTACGAGGAGCCTGTGTTTCTCGCGAGAGAACGCATTTCTCGTCGTCGAATATCGAAGCGGAAACGTCGACGCGTCATCGGACTGCGGATCTCCGTGCGAGATAAGCGTCGATATTTCATCGAGAAGGATATAAGTCGAATTTAACGTGTATTTAGTACTTTGTTTAATCGATATTTTTGGTTATTCAGCCGGTCGATCCTCTCGCGTAAGCGCGCGAAAGCCGCCGTCCACGCGTCGCGCAGCTCGAGAGAGCATCGCTTCGAGAGAGCATCGCTTCGAGATATCGCTTCGAGATATCGTTTCGAAATATCGTTAACAACAAATATCAATGAACGATCGATCCGACGACCTCGAATCACCCCGCGTGTCCGTCGCACAACCTCTTAAATGCGTGTGAAAAGCGGTACAGTAATGTCTCCCTTACTGACGCTCGAATTGTTCCCCGAAATGGGCAGTTTCGGAAGAGGGGATACGATTGTACGAGCCTTGCGACTCGTTAATTATAGTTGTTGACAATCGATAGCCATAAAAGGCGAGCCACAAGGCTCGAACAATCGTATCACCTTCTCCACGAATTGCCAATTTTTGTGGACAAACTGAGCGTCAATTAGGGAGACATTGCTGTACCTTGAACGATTGACAAAACTGTGAGCGTAATATAATAATTGTGGCAATCGGCGCGAGCACGGAGGAGCAGACAATAGAGAACAACAATCAAAACTCACTCGCTGAAACACGTGCGTTCAAGTGTTTTAGAAACAGTTGCTGTTTATTTCTCGAATCAATGGTTTGGCACACGCTTACAGGCTCGCAGGTTACACGTTGATTAATGCGGTCGCAGCTGGGGCTTGGCAACAGGTGGTCGTCTTTTTTCTTTCGTTTTATTCGTGGGGAACGGGGAGACGGGACGACTATGTACGTAGGTATAGCGTATCATCATCATCATCATCATCATCATCATCATCATTATCATTATCATCATCATTATCATCATGCTACAAGATCTCCGCGTCGCGATTCCTAAACACTCGGACAGCTTTCTTCTATGCTTCGATGCTTCGACGTCCGCGTGGACGTAATATAGTGGTGTCTGGCAACCACGGTGAAGTAAAAAAAAAAAAAAGGAAAAAAGAAGAACGACTCGCGGAAGTGTCGCGGAGACATTGAATGACTAACATCGAGGTATTGCTGTGAAACGAACTGTACGTGGTGTCTGTGAAATAGTGCAACTTTTTAGCGACGAAATTTTAGCGATTTTTGTGTGCCGGAATAATTCTGTTTCGAAGCCGGGATGGTACAGAAATTGAGTGAATTCTCCCTAATCGACGCTTGGCTTGGAAACGTAAAATGGACAATTTGGGAAGAGGAGATAGGATTGTTATTATTATTATTACATTCTTGAGAGAACGTACGATTATATGGTCAAAGTTATTTGTAGTTATAGATAGTTAGTTATAGTTATAGATATAGATATATGTAAATATAGATCTATATCTATGTATGTAGATACCTATGTATAGAGCTGGATATATATATAGATATACTATATCTATATTTGTATATCTATATACTATAACTATATTTATATACCTATAGATATGCTATATCTATAGGTATATATCTATAGATATACTATAACTATATCTAGATATCTATAGATATAGTATATATATGGATATAGATATATAGTGTATGGATATAGATATACTATAACTATATCTATATATTTAGATGTCTATATAGATATACTATAATTATATCTATATATTTATATATCAATATAGATATACTATAACTATATCTATATATTTATATATCAATATAGATATACTATAACTATATCTATATATTTATATATCAATATAGATATACTATAACTATATCTATATATTTATATAGATATAGATATACTATATCTATATATCTATATACCGGGTGTTCTAGTCGGAGTAGCCAGGACAATGACGCAGGAACAAGGTAAACAAGCCTCAAACGTGTACTCTTAGAGAGAGTTCACTTGACAGGGTGTCCCAAAAATGTCTCGCAATACGGAAATTGGGGAGGGAGGGGAGGGGGGGGGGGTGGCGAGGTCATT